AAATAAAATGTATTATTATTATTATTATTATTAATAATATTAATATGTCAATGTTGTGTCTCAAAGTAGCCAAAACAAGCACTTTGTTTTAAGTTTTTCATTCTGTGCATTTTGTCTGTTTTAATTAATAGCAAACATTTGGTAGTTCCATTAACCTAAACTTATTTTCTGAAATGCACCATGTAAGCACAGAAAAAGTTGCTTGCGTTGCAGTGGGCCGTATTCCATTGTGTAAGCAGATAAAACCACCTCAACAGGATTTTAAATCATGCAGAGAGGGTCTACCATGAGGATGATAGCCAAGATTAGGAAAGCTCACAGAGATGTTAGTCTGCTAACAGAGATGCAGAAGGGTCTCATGAGAGTTTTGGATGATAATAAGTGCAACAAATATCCATATGTGAGGCTCTAGAGACTGCCTGACAGCCTCAGCTCTGGGCACAGCTGAAGAGACACACCAATGCAGCTGTTCTCCAAAGACCCATCCAGTGTGTACTCCCAGCAACAAGTGAACAACAGCATGACAACAGACCCACCCAGAGCTGAGGCTGAGCAATACTTGAAGGCCAAATGGGAAAAAGAGGCAACACACAACACCAATAGCACGTGGTTGATGTACACACACAACATCCAACAATGAGTCTTCAGCATGAAGAGCTGGACAGCACCAGGATGTGACGGGATGCACTCCTACTGGCTCAAGCAGTTAACAGCAACTCCTTCATTCCAGTGCTTGGAAACTAGACCAGTCTTAGCTAAATTCACACACCTAAATACATTCATTACTTATTCGTTGTTAAATAGACCAGGAGCAGAACTGCTGTCTTTGAATTCTTTACACTTTGGGAGGAGAGTTTGGTTATTTCTTTTACTGATACAGCAACACACACAGGCCCTGTTTTAATCTAAACTTAAATTTTAATCTAATTTAAGTTTTACCTACATTACTAGTTATACTACCAAGCACAAAAACACTTTTCTAAACTTCATTTTTAAATCTTTTTGTGTGTGGTTTTCTGTACCCTAGCAGAGATGGAACTCACACCTAAATAAGGCTACCCTGATAACCTTCATCAAAAACTCATTATTTGTCACCATTAACTGCAACATACACCTAGGTGATGCACTGGCCCTGCTGCTGTCCTACAATGAACTGAACCCCCTGGGCCACATCATTGCAAAGTGAGACTATGGATACAGATTCAGAGGTTGAATGACCCGCCACTTGGTGTGCATGAATGACATCAAGCTGTATGCCAAGGGTGAAGAAGGCATTAACTCACTGCTCCACCTCACCAAGTTCTACAGCAAAGTCATCCAGATGTCTGTCAAACTGTGTGGCCATATGGTGGCAAACAGAAGGAAGAGAATGCAAAGAGGTCAGCAACAGCCAAATACCTCAAGAGGATAGGACACATCACGACAAGTCAAATCCAAAACCTTAACATCAGACACCCAGCTGGAATTACAAAGTTGGACAAAAAAAAAAGTCCACACAATACACAGAGGGTTCAACGAAAACGAAAAGATGGTGGTGAGGATTAGTAAGTATGTTCAGAAGTATACAGGGAATATATATGAATATGTCAGAATGCTAGACCCCCAGGATTTTTATTTACTTATTTATTTTTCCTTTATTTAACCCGGTGGGTTAATTGGAAAACAAATTCTCATTTACAATAATGGCCTGGCCAAGAGGCAGCACAGAACAGAAAATACAATAAAAGGAATACATCCATTTAAAAAAAAATCAATATACAAACAGAACATAACAATAAAATGCTTAATAATAAAATACACTAAAAGCAGGTACAGGAATTGGTAAGTAATGCCTTCACCATATTTTGAAAAGATGAAAAAGGTATGAAAGAGGTGAGTTTAAGTGCTTTCTGTAAGTGGTTCCAGTCGAGAGCTGCAGGAAACTGAAATAAATAGCGGCCAAAAATAGTGCGGGCTTTAGGGAGGAGGAGGTGGATGAGGTTGCTGTTGCGAAGTGAACGGCTGATGTGACGGGTGATGAGTAGTGAACGTAGACATGCCGGAGTTTGACCTGTAATAGTTTTATAAATGAACAAATCACAATGAGTTTGCCTGTGGGAGTGAAGAGAGGGCCAGTTAACTAGGCTATACAGAGTGCAGCGGTGAGTCGTGAAGGGGGCACCAGTGAAAAAACGGATGTCAGTGTGGTAGATAGTGTCCAGTTTATGGTGTAGGGATTTGGATGTGGATCTATAAAGTATGTCGCCATAGTCAATCATCGGAAGTACTGTCATTTTGACCAGAAAGTGTTTAGCAGAGTGTGTAAATGAGAATTTATCATGATAGAGAAAACCAATTCTATTTTTGACTTTGGCGAGCAGAGAGTTGATGTGGGTTTCAAAAGAGAAGGAGGGGTTGAGCCAGTTACCTAAATATTTGTAGCTATTGACAAATTCAATTATAGATCCATCCAAGGGGATGATGTTATTTGAGGACTGGATCTGTAGGAGGTTTCTATTGAAAATCATACATTTAGTTTTTCTTGTATTTAGTGATAAAAGAAGGTGAGAGAAGGCATGTTGGATGTTGTTGAACGCAGTTTGCAGATTGTATAATGCATCATTGAGGGAGGAGCTAGATGTATAAACAATGGTATCATCGGCGTACAGATGAATGTGGGCGTTGTCTACGGCATGGGTTATGTTGTTGATGTAAATATTGAATAGTGTTGGACCCAGTATGGAACCTTGGGGGACACCTCTGTGAAGACGTAGTGGGGCCGAGAGAAGACCCTCCATCCTTATCGACTGTAAGCGCCCAGAACAGTAGCTACTGAACCAGGAGACACAGATTTCAGAGAGACCAATATTTCTTAGTCTTTCCAGCAAGATCTGGTGGTCAACAGAGTCAAAAGCTTTAAACAGATCAACAAAGACAGCAGCACAGTATTCCTTGTTGTCAGAGCACAGATGATATCATTAACCACGTTCATCGTGGCCGTGATGCAACTGTGGCCTGATCTAAAGCCAGACTGTAGAGGGTTAAAGGCTTTGTAGGGTTCCAGAGGGCCTATAAACTGTTTGTTGATACGTTTTTCAAACACTATGGCAAGGCAGGGCAAAATGGAGATGGGTCTGTAACAGTTCAGGTCAGCATTGTCTCCTCCTTTGAATAGTGGGACAACGGCAGCAGATTTCCAGTCCTGTGGGAAAACTCCTGTTTGCAGAGATTAAACAAGCCACAAATGGGGGAAGCAATGACATGGGCACTAGTTTTTAAAAAGATTGGGTCTAGCCCATCCAGTCCAGCAGATTTATGGGTATCCAGATTGAACAGCTTCACCAATACCTCATGTACAGGCTGAAAAGAGAATGGAAGGTTTTCTGATACAGGTGGAGGGGATACAGATGCTGAAGTGACAGGAGAAGCAGTGGAAGGAGGTGAGTTGCCAGCCTTGACAACGTGCTTGTTGAAGTGGTACAACATCTTGGATTTATCTGTGACAGCACAACCATCAGACTTAATAAATAGGAAGAACAGTTGAGTGCTTCGGGCAGCTGAAGACAGAGGGTGATGGGGAGAAAGAGGACACATTGTGGAAGACTAAGTCCCTTTATGGATTGTACCATCGGCAGATATAAGAGGAGGTTAACATCAAGAAATCCTACCACGGGCTCGAAAATGCTGGTTTGGGGGACAGCACAGATCATGGCAGCACAACAATGTACTATAAGCAACAGAACACTAGAGAAGGGAATCTGTGAGGTGGCTTAAGTTTAATTCCCAGCATCTCTGCATGCTCAGGTATGTTGGGAAAGATACTGACTAACCTGAAGTTGCTACCAAGACAATATAAAGTGTTTTGCATACCCCTAACATAGGAAATTTTAGTGCAGACCATTTACCATTCACCAAGCAGACAGGACCTGAGGCTGTGCAGATTCTGTACAGACAGTCTAGCACACATGCAGACAAGAACATCTGTGCTGAGCGAATGTGTGAATGTATGAATAGCTTTCAATATCTAGTCATGTGGAAATCAACTTTTTTCATTGAATACTATCACTAAAGACTCAACACACACTGTCTTTTGTTTTGTGAAAGTAACCTCTGTAGATGTGCATATGGCATCTTTTTATATCAATAATAAATTCATTTATTAATATATAAATCCCTGGGCTTTGAGAACTCGTGTTAAAGAAAAGCTTTTGCTTATGTCCATAATTTTCTGCTAATTCAGGACATATCACACATATCAGTGTTTGATATGCTGAAGAAAAGACCTTCCCCTGTCAGAGGTCTTGTGCATGTCCCCCTCCAAAATGTACATCTATGTAGAAAAATGCAAAAAAGAACAGTATCGCCGAACTGTAGAGGAGTTGAAATTAAAAAAAGCATATACAGTGCTTAGCAAATTTATTAAGACCACCACCCAGTGTGAGGTTCATGCCAAAGCTTCCCTAAATTAACAGCATTGGTAATTACCAATGATATAAATAAAATAATTTTTTATGTCTCTGTAATGGTTAAGAACCCAATATGTAGAAGCTCTTTAACTGAAATGAGATTTTTACTTAAATAATATTTTAAATTATTATTGTTATCCATGAATTTTCAAATACACTGTTTTACACAGTGCTTAACAAATTAGACAGAGGGTCTAATATATTTGTAAAGCACTGTACATTAAGTCAATATATACGATATGTATAAATATCTCAACTTAGTACTGTTGTAAATGCACACAACACAACATTTCCCCCAGCTTGTAACATTTTATTCAACAGAAAGGACCACTGGCCCATTTCCACACTCACTGCTGATAAAATGCTGCTTTGCATGACAACAATTTACCTCATTCACACTTTGACACACTATTAAAAGTCATTTCTATACAGTAAATCACAGTATTCTCACAGCCTCTTGACTATCTTTTCATACCATGACACACATTCCTTCCACTCTGCAACAGGCGCAGATATCTTTTCCGAGAGGAGAGAGTTCTGTGGTTACTTTCATAAATATTGATTCACTATGTGCTGTTTGTAGTTTTTAAGGTAGTATAGACAATGAGTCAGAGTTCTGTTAGTTTCTTCTGACCTGCAGGTCCCTTTTCAGGCTTGTGCAATATTTCTTTTCTGCCTCAGTGGGAATAATATCAAATTAATCAAATATAGGGGAAAATATTTTTCTGCCGTCTTCATGGTAAGAACAGATCATGGACTGAATCATTCAATAGAAGCTTTTGATCCAGAACGCCATGATAAGGAGGGGAACACTGAGTAATGTAAGAGTCAGAGATAACCTTAAGACTGGAGAGGCTGAGAGTGAGAAAGTACCTGATAAACAGACTGAGTCAGCTCCACTTAGACCCACAAATACATGGGCCTACATTTTCAAGGGAAATAGTTCACGTTTTCAACAGGACAGTATAAAGTCTATCTTGTCTCATAATCATCTTAAATTTGATCCAGGAAGGTACCTGAGCAGGTGAAACTGACACAATGCCAAAAAACATTCAAACCTGCAATTTTTTTTGTGTGAGCCTGTTCTCATGGCACAGGTCTAAGTTTCCAGATGGAAACCAATTCAGACTGTGTGCTGCTTCCAGTGCATTTATTCTTTGTGTCTTTTTCAATGCTGCCAGTCATGAGTGCCAAAGTGGATAGTTTTCAATTGGACTTCTGTATCTATCTGTTTATAAGCGATCATCAGGACTATTTGTTAGAAAATAGACTTATGGTTTTTGGTGGTAAATCCACAGTAGTCCCTTTCACATCCTGTGATTAGTCCACTTTCTTTGGTTTACGATTCTTCCACATGATAACTGCAGTGAAGGCCCCTGTGGAAAAGATAAGAATGACAAGAAGTCTTATTGAATTTCACATGCAGGGAATTAAGAAGGGTTGTTGGCAGAGTGGGGATGGTAATGATTAATCGTTAATCAGTTTATTGTAGTCAATAACTTAATCAGTCAATCAAATACATAAACTGAAGCAGAAGACGAGGGACAGGCATGTCAGAGAATGCACTATAGAGTTGCTGTGTCTCCTGTGAATTCCCACACAAAAAGTGACTTCAAAAAGCTTTTGCCTTCATAGTTATCATACGACAACACATTCTGAAGCCGAAACATGTTTGTAAACCTTAAGGTTCAAAAAGTACAGCTTTGTTGTCTTTCGTGCTTTAAAACAGCGTTTGGCGGGCTGAAGGTGAGTTTTAAATGCAGATAGCATACTGACCTATACAGAGGAGCAGTATTACTGCTGCAATGCCTGGAAGAATGACCGAGTACTCTCGTGGCAGGAAATACTTGTGCAGCACGTGATTGCTTTCCACAAAAGGCTGGAAAAAGACAGAAAAAATGTTACAAATAGCTTTAAAAACATCATACGACGTAATGCAGCATTTTGAAATAAATCACTGTTAGACAGAACAAGAAGACAGGTGAAAACAGTTTAAATCATCCATTTTAGAAAATGAAATATCGGTGCAGGGAGGAAAGCAGTTCATGGTAAGTGATTTGAAATTCTGTTTTAAAGGTCGCTATGTGCAAAGAGACAAACAGAAGTGATGGAAAATCTCGGTTGATTTGTGAACTGTGGAAGGGTTTTGGACGACACTGTTTAGGGCCTGAAACATATGTAAATCCAATCAAAATAGGGTTTAGGGACTAAACAGAACTTACCAGAATGATGACCCACACAGAGTAGTATGTAAACAGCAGGAGACTAAAGACAACAAGACTCATACCAACTGCTTGATCCACTCCTGTCGCCTGAAAATAAAGGAAAATAAATTGAACAGAAGGCCCCTAAAGGTTAACAGTGACAATGCTAGTAGCAACATATTCATTTTTGACTTATGTTCTAGTAATAGGATGCGGTCCCATTTAGTCAAATGATTACTGAGGAATTATGAAAGATCAGAGCAGCACAGTCTCAGACAGCCTGACTTTTAGTTTCCTTCAGGATCCTACATTTCTTATAATACTACTCAAAAGTCATTTATGTTTTCTATGATGTTCTTTCCTGTATAATTACCTCGTTATCTTTTAAACTCCCTTTCCTCAGTGGAAAATGCAAGTTTTCTGCTTTGACCAAATTTAAAATAACCCCGACCACATCATCAGGGTTCTTTCTTGAGACTTCAGCAGACAAGTGTTTCCACAGACTGGATAGAACACCTTGCGATTAACAGATTCACCTTTGTGTGTAACATAGGTGGATTGCAAATTTAATTAAAGATGGGCAGGTGAAATTCTTTTGATCTCAAATAACACATTCCAGAAGCAACACCAGGGTTTAGTAAAAACTACTAAAAGGTGCTGGATTGAAAAGCGTGGGTTCTTAAGATTCATCCCATTTCTGTATTATGAGCTTCCTCGTGTCCTGCGTCCTTGTCACTTGGAAATCAATCCTAGTATGACATCTTGAGGGATATCTCAGCTACTGCTCGCTCAGTTGTTACTGTAGGTATTTTAGGAATTGAGACATCCTTCAAGATGTTAAGATTGATTTCCACATCACAGGCAGGAGCACAGAGAATATGCCGAGACTCAAAATAGAGAAACGATACAAGTTTCCCAAATGCATTTCAAAAAGAGAGAAGGCTGCCAGAGGAGCTATAAACAAGGACGAACAGGTGAATCCTCGCTGTATCCTACACGATTCACCTGTGACATATAAAAAAGGCGACACACAGCTGGAATATATGAACCATGTCCAGAGCTGGACTGAGAAATGTGTGTCTATAACAAATATCACTCAACCAGAGTGTATTACGCTTTATTTGTAGCTTACTCTTTGTGTATCACGCTTCTGCTCATGTACACATTGTGTCATGAACTCAGTTCTGTTGTACTGACAGAAATCATAAAACACAGGCTTTAACAAAACAACGAACAGATGATGCAGCTGTGCCACATCTCACATTCAAATGACGCTGCTTTAAAGCGATGCTCGTCACCCTCCACTGCAGAGACTGGGAGGTTCCACTCACACAGGTGGTTTGACAGTCTGTTTATCCGCGCCAAACTCCATTCAAATATCTGCAAATTGACAACTGAGCTGCTCTATTTGCCAATATACGCATGGCACTAATTCCCAGATACGTTTGGTTTATGAAATAACTGCACTTACTTGTACATTCGGCGTATTTATTTATTGTTTTTATAAATAGGACTTTTGTTTCTAGGATAACCTAATAGGCTTTCGTGAATGAATGAGGAAATAAGAGTTTGGAAAATTAAGAGTGTTTGGTAGTTGTTGACAGCGTTTATACGCGCACAATTCAGCAGTAAAACGTCTGTAAACTAAAACGGAGACAAAAACAATAAGTCAATAATCCATTTAACGCCAGATATGAAGCTACAAGCTAACATGAGCGTCTTTAACGTGTTTCATTAGCTTGCTGCAGTGACTCCGCGACAGCCGCAGACCTTCCTCATAGAGAGAAACTGTCAGTTCACATACTGCTATTCTAAGAACTGCCTTTACTTCATCTGTTTAAATGTAATCATCTTAGCTTTCTTACCATTTCTAACCAGCAGTCAGGTAATGTTATTTGCTGACGTTTCCTGCTCTTCTTCTTTGTGTGGACAAATCCGG